CCATGGGGTTTTTATAATCAGCATGTGAACACCATGGGCTTTTATGATGAGCATGGGAACACCATAGGGTTTTATACTCTACATGGGAATACAATGTGACTTGTATGCGGACACCATAGAAACGCCACAAACACTATTCAAATTTTTGCAATCATCAAGAGAACACTGGGATTTGCATGGATATGGCATCTACACAGGTACACTTAGAGGCTTTGTTGTATTGTGAACCACATTAGCTGCTGCCATTTAAATGCAGCATTGGCATGAACTACAGTACACATTTTGGAATGGAATGTTGATATGATGACTGCAACTTTGCCCGTCACTATGAGATGCACAGGACACTCACCATGGGAGGCATGGGTAAATCACCATGGGACGCAAGGAACAATTGACATGGAACAATCACCATGGGATGCAAGGGACAATCGACATGGGAAAATCATCATGGGACGCATGGGACAATCACCAGGGGACAAATGGGGCAACCACCATAGGATGCACGGGAAAATCACCATGGGACACATGGGTAAATCACCATTGGATGTGTGGGAAAATCACCATGGAACACAAGGGTAAATCACCATGGGACACATGGGTAAATCATCATTGGATGTGTGGGAAAATCACCATGGGACACATGGGTAAATCACCATTGGATGTGTGGGAAAATCACCGTGGGACACAAGGGTAAATCACCATAGGACACATGGGTAAATCGCCATTGGATGTGTGGGAAAATCACCATGGGAAACATGGGTAAATCACCATTGGATGTGTGGGAAAATCACCATGGGACACAAGGGTAAATCACCATGGGACACATGGGTAAATCACCATTGGATGTGTGGGAAAATCACCACGGGATATGACAATTAAATCACCATGGGAATATTTTGGGAGATTACATGGGGTTCTTGAAATACGCATGGGCAAAATCCCATGGGTAAAAATCCCATGTTACTTGGTGGCCAATTCACCATGTAATCCCATGGGAAATTTTCCCATTTTCCCCCTCATGGGACATATTTGCAAGTGAGCAGACATCAGACCCCACAACTCTGGGGGTACTTCTTCCCAAGGTAAAGCGGGAGCTTTTTTTCCTGCACCTACATGTATGTTGGTCCACCTGAGGCAATGTCGACACCTACACAGAAAAATGCAGAAGACTAGAATCAACATGATGAGAAGCACGTGAGGTTTAATTGCTTAAAATTTGACACCTGATGACATAATGATAACGTCAAAATGATATGCACTACTCAGAATCATTAATTATTCATGTACATGTATCTTTAATGCAAGAAATTCATATCTCTAGGAGAAAAGCCACAGAGGCTTGTTTGGATGGAAGTACAGACAGAAGTACTTTTGGAACTAAATAAAAATGTCACCCTTTTACTTTCCATACTTTCACCTGCAGTAAGTTTTGAAAAAAAAATTCAATAACTATTGACATCTGGGAAAAACCCTCAAGTTAATTTAATGTGAATTAAAGTCGGGTACTGCTGCACACATCCGAGCTGATTCAGGGTAGAAACCTTTGATTTATATTAAAAATTCAAACATTCTTCTTTCTGACAGACCACGATATGTTGAATGAATTATCAGAGTATGACCCGATGACCAACTACTTTCTCAACTTATTGCCAAAAGTCAACTGATTATTTCCCACCTCAAATTATTGTGTGCAAAACATTATTTGATGTCTTCTTTTATTCTCTTCAATATCAGATTTTGATTCTCTCCTCTCACATGTCTCTCTCCAATCTCCAATGCCAGTATAAATTACAGAATTACAAAACACTTCTAACCTGGATCAACAAGAACTAGTGATAACAATGGCTATGATAATACTTTTTGTATCAACTTATATATTAATTTTGTATCAATCAACATTACCTTACAGTGCACTAAACAATAAAACAGGAAACCTCCTTTAGACTGAAGACATGGATTTGAAATCTGTGTATTATGTTCCAGGACAGTTACTGCTCCCCTATTTATCCTACCTCTGAAGTACAATTTGAAAGAAACTAAGTATGTCTGAATTTCATGCTAGATGAGCATCTGCAGTTTAATTAACTTTGAATTTTTATTATCTGAATAAGAAAAGTCTTGGTGAAATGTCTAGTTCATTTCTATGCATACATTTGTTTAATTTGGTCGATTTTATTCCACTTATCATCTAAGTGACCCTTATTTTTTTGACTTTAGTATTGTGTATTTCAATTGCACTGACTTGTAATGGCCACATACCCCCTATAATACCAGCCTGTATAGCAACCCCATACACTACAGCTAATTCAGGATCAACCTCTACATTGGGAACCTTGCCAAAGAAGTCTCCAACAACTTGACGCACTCTTGGAATTCTTGTTGATCCACCCACGAGTACTACCTCATCTATGTCATCAGGAGTCATTTCAACCTCTTCAATGACCAGTCTGATTGGTTCCAGCACCTTTTGGAAAAGGTCTTCATTCAAATGTTCAAACATTTCTCTGGTGATATTCTCAGTGAATATCACGTGATCTCCAAGGGATGGCAATGGCAGCTGAAGCAATGAAGACTCATGATTTGTGAGATTGAGCTTAACATCTTCCACTGCAAGGCGTAAATTCTGCAGCTCCCTAACATTCAGTACAGGCTTTGAGTATTTCATGGCAATTAGATCACACAAGTACTGCACAAGGCGGTGGTTGATATCCTGTCCTCCCAGATGATTGTTTCCTACAAGGCAAACCAGAATATGTCACATTATGCTGTAGTTTTCACAAGCTTTGAATCAGAAAAACATCGAGTGGATTTGATAAAATGAAACATGACATCAAACTTAACAGTTGATGATTGGAAACTCGAGTGGGAGTAGCAAGTAGATTTTTTTCTTCTAAGGTTCCTTTACATATTGTTTGCTAAGCTTGAAGATACCAGCAGATTTTCCACCCAAAATAGTTTTTAAGACAAAAGATTTGCTTTCATGCTAGACATACACAACCAACATGTTGTTGCATCCCTAACTATCAGGCTTGTTGCATCATGGACGTTTAGTGTTGTTCACATAAGATGCCATTTTCAAGGTCAACATTTATTTGAGCAGAATGCATGGGTTTGGGTGACAGTCGAAGTGTACAGCTTGTTTACTGTTCCCACTTCTCTTCTTACTTCATCTAAGTTCATAAGTGGTTTTGAAGGTGTAACTTTGCAACAGCGTTACAACACAAAAGGCGAAGTTGTATGTAACTAAACTATGGTTTGGCAAAACCAAATTCCAGTTAAACGGAGTGAGCATAGTACGAGTGTATCACATCACACAACTGTGGTGCGGAGCTGTCCTGAGTCACCATGGTGACAAGGCAGCAACAGCTAGACAGGGCCAGCAGTATGTATTGACCTCACTGCTGCTCAGACTAAAATGTGGTGAGCTCGATCAAATTCTGTACTGCATCATTGGCTCAGCGCAGACAGAGGACCAGGCTAGTTAGCAGGACCAGAGTGGCATGAATAACTTTTTACAAAATTAGCCTCTCTGCTACGTTTCATACATGTATGCATAGTCAAGCTAAACAAAGAGACCCTGGGAATGCAAGGTAACAAGAACGAGGAAAACATTGTGGTGCTAAAATTCCATCAAGGTTTGTGGGTTCGCAACACTATTTAAACTGATACAACAATTCAATGAGTCTGTGGGCATTGTACAACTTTTTGCACAGCAACAGAGTGAAAACCTTGTGTTCTGATTAAATTTCATACCTTCAGGTGACACATAGTTCAAACCCATTGTTTAACAAACCAATTATGGACTGCTGTAATGCCCATGATGCATATGATGTTTTAACATCCTTCAGAATGCATTCACTTCAGGTAACGTAAGCTCTTCAGGTGTTAAAATATCATGTTCATTATCACAGTGTACTACAATGGGTGTTACAGGGATGTTTGAAGGGAGCTTTCCACTTCTTTTGGGGGGGGAGGGGAGAGGGAAAGGCAAAGCAATTATCTTTTTTTGAGGTTACAGCACTTTCATTTACAATGCTTTTCACGATACAGGGTTAACCTTTATGATTTTCGGCCTCAAGAACCATATAAAAAATGTGAAAGGATTCCGGTGTTTGTTACAGCGCTCTTTACCTTTGAAAGTCAGATTCTTTGAAAATCAACGCATGTGAAAACGGACCACAAGGCCGTCACGATTGGTCGTCCTCTCGGACACCACTGTAAAGATCACACAAAGTGTAGTCACGCACTCGGCCACCAATGCACTGCAATTGCGAGCACTCAGTGTTTGCCCCCGAAGGCTTGTGAAAAAAAAACACAAGTGTACTCAGGTGGGACTTGGACCCATGACCTCCTGCTTACTAGTACAGACATCTCAACCACTCGACCACCGAGCTTGCCAGTGTTGGCTGGTTCGAGTCAGATGTAGCAGCGAGTCCATCTTATAATTGTGTGATCATATTCCTACTTTTATTTATTCTTGTTGAGTAGTTTGGAACACAAACAATCAGCATTGAGATAATACATGTAGTATTTTGCTACTGAAAGGTTTCTTTCTACCAAAAAATAAAATCAGCTGCTAAAATTGTAAATGTATCTCCGTGTAGAAAATCTCGTCTTTTCGCCGATTGTGTTCGGCGTGACATGTTGGGTCTGTTTTCACTTGGGTTTTCTGATGGCATATCACTTTCTGCACTCACATGGTTATTGGAAAAAGTCAGCAATTGGACTGTCCATGAATGGGTATGCAGTGGCAATCGGGATGTCACGGCAGCAGTTTTTGAAGAGATTTGGTAGTGTTTTTCATCCGCGTAACAAAAACGTCCAGGTAACTAGATGCAAGGCATATATTCCAAAATATTGCAGTACATACATCTGCCAATACATGTAAACGGAATTTACACACACGACACACATGTAGATGCATGTAAAGTAATGTAAAGTACATGTGCAGTGCACATGTTACGCGTCTATCCAGTCGATTATAGCGCTGTACGGTTATAATGCTCAATTCAGTTAGATCCCTTTTAGAGCACTGCAAAAAGGAATTTACTGTATCTTGCTTAATTCTGGAATAGATGAAAGCAAATGAGCCTGATATGTAAACTGAATTCAATGTTACCTGCCATGGCTAATGTCTGGAACATTCCACCGTGAACTCTGAGTAATGAGACATCTAGTGTCCCTCCTCCCATATCCACCACTATGATTTCTGACGGTGTCCTCTGGTTGTGTAGTCCATATGCCATAGCAGCTGCTGTTGGCTCATTAATAATTCGCAAGACTTCCAGGCCTACAAACATTGGACAAAGAAATGTAAGTTGAATCTCACATTTGTTTATCCTGATTGATCACAATTCTTAAGAGAAGACCAAATTAAATAGAAAAAAGTACATGTACTTTGTTTTAGCAGCCACATCGGGCACAATAGATTGATAAGCATGATAAAATGATGTGTTACAGTGTCAGTCAACTTTTATTTATGAATTCATAAAAATGGCAATTGATGATGGCCAAATTAACCCTTCACTCCGGGAGACGGCAATAGCCACACCTGGAGAAAAGCCTAATTGCCGGGAGACGGCTATAGCTGTATACCACACATGCAACTATTATTCAGTGTATGTCTGTAATTACTGGCAGCTTTGCATTGAATGGAAATATGGGGCAACTTGGAGATTTGGTTGATCCCCTGATACTCAGTAAATGATAATTTTTTCATCAGAACACCCCACTGTCTTTGATCGAATACCCTGGGTAATCTCTGGGGAGCATTGCTCGATGCAGCAGTCAGGGATTACGCAACAAGCTTTGTGTGGGCTCAGAGCACGATAAATACAGGATATTGACAAGGTGTGCACGCCATGTGAACACATGGACAGCACCCCCGCACCTCACAATCAGGATATAGACGGGCCATTGTGCAGAGTAATTGGGCATTTGCTCTGCTGAAAAGCAGTGTTTTCTGTAGCGCTTGGTATTTGCCTTATATATGCATACTTGCCCTTCAGTTGCATTACACGATGTATTCAAGTGAAGAGGAAACTTGGATGGCGACTAGTGATTCAGATTTCACGTCAGAATCTGAACATAGTTCAGAAATTTAAACTAGTGACAGCAACCACCATTAGAGAGGCCTGCCAAGAAGATCCATTCAATGCACGGATGATGACAACTTCCCCAGGCACAGCCGGTATTTAAGCGCAAGAACTGGACAAGAACATCACTCCTCTTGAAATCTTCGAGCAGTTCTTCACCCCAGACCTGATGTTGTACATTGCCAATGAGACTAAACGCTATGCTACTAAACACCCGAAAAGTCAATCAGCAGCAAGTCCAAGTCAAATGAGAAGCTGGTTTGACACAACACCAGACGAGATGTCAGTGTTCCTGTCCATGACAATCATCATGGGACTGATACCGAAACCCAACATGAAGTCCTACTGGACTAGAGACTCGGTACTTGAGACTTTGATTTTTCCCTAATACCATGCCTCTCAACAGATTTGTGGACTTGCTGTCCTATCGGCATTTCGTCGATAACAGCTGTGCAGATATGACCGATCAACTCTACAAGCTCCGCCCGGTGGTAGACAAACTAACCAAGAAGTTCAAGTCCGTCTACATTCTGTCTAGCAACATTACTACTGAAGAGACCCTTTGGAAATTCAAAAGGAGACGGAAGTTTAAGCAGTACAACCCCAAGAAGCATGTGAGGATTGGCATCAAGGTATATTGAGTCTGCCAGTGCATGGGGGTTGCCGCTGAATGCACCTTAAGCTTCAAGATTTACACAGGTCAAGACCAGACTGTTGGACTGGCAAGTACAAAAATTGTACTTGACTTGAACGCTGATCTTCTTGGCAAAGGGTACGCCCTTTTCCTGGACAAGTGGTTCAGCAGCCCTGATCTGTACCTGAAACAACACAGCCAGAAGACGAACGTCGTCGGGACGGGAAGAAAAAATCGTGAAGACATGCCTAAGGACTCGTGCTCCTTGAAACTTGAGAGATGATGTTGTTCACCGCTCCTGCATAAAAGGCTTGCTTACCTTGGTCTGACAAAACAAAAAAGATGTCCGTATGTTGTCCAGGTAGCCTACAGCCACGATAGCCGACACTGGCAAGTGGAACTGTGATGGCATCGCTTTGGAAAACCCCCAGTTGTGTACTCGACTACAATGAGGGGATGAAGGGTGTGGACGTTGCAGACCAACTGGCATCGTAGCACCGTTCAGTCAGGAAATCAATCAAATGGTATAAAAAAGTGTTTTTTTCTTTTTAATTTTTGCTTGATGTTGCTCTTGTAAACTCTTATCTTGTGTGATAGGAAATTGGAGGCACTGACAGTTATTTGTCATTTAGACAATTGTTAGTGTATGAAATTTTAGAGTTGCGTGCACAAAACTTGCCAGTGTTTCAATCTAGAGGTAGACCATCCGTCTTCATGGTCCAGGTTGACTGATACGAAGACATTTGGCTGAAGAAATTCCCCTGGCTGGAAAATGAGCTATATATCATACAGACAGTGTGATGTTTGTTTTAGCAATGGTAAAAGAAAAGAGACTAAATTGATGTGTGAAATTTGTGACGTTCCACTTTGCGCTTGTAGTAGATTTATTTCCACAGGGTAACCCTATCAGTTATGAAACTGCTATTCTTAAGGGCCCCGATAAAATATTAAAACACAATACAAACTAATCAAACTAATTTAAACATTTAAAACAGTATATCTATAAGAAGAAATATTAGAAACAAACTTTAAATAAAACAAAAAATTGCATATAGAATCATCGAATAAAAAGACAATTAAGTAAAACAACCCGATAAAACATCAAAATAACAACCACAAAGTAGGGACATTAAAATAATTATGAACAGGCCTCAATTCATGCTGATGTCAAAATTAATATGTTATGTTATAATAATCAACTAAGACCAGAATTTAATTTTAAAATAAAGGATTAAAATTATCAGCAATTAAATCTCGTAACAATGAATAAATAAAACACAAACTAAAACTACAGGAGACACTTGAATTTATAGAGGGACTCTGCCTGCCTTTGAGGGGTAGTCAGCTTATTCCACTCCAAGGTCCCTAGATATTGGAAGGTGCGTTTACCAACATTGGTCTTAGGCTTTTATGACATCTATAATTCGCCATTTGACAGTGATTGGGTGCCAAAAGAGTAGCTTGGAGGTTTGAAGTGAGAATTACATGTAAAGTAGTGGGGGTTAAGTTTCCTAAGGCACTTGTAGACCTCGCACAGTTGTAAAGAATGCCAGCGTTGAGGAAGTGTGGTCCAAGAGAGTGCTTCATGTAAGTCAGCAATATGAGTTCTGTAATGAGCATTGAGAATTAATCTCCCAACATGCCCAAGTCGATTGTGCAGCTTGACAAGTCTCTCAATATTGCTGTAAAAATAACTGGACAAAGCAATGCTACAATAATCGAATAAAGGCAAAACCATAGCACAATTAAGCATTTTAAAGATCAAAGCAGGAAGACAAGGTTTAGCGGAGCATTGAAAAAAAAAACTATTTTTTGCGAGATTTTCTCAGCAACAAGGTTGATGTGATCCAACCATGATATTGACTTGTGCAGCATAACCCCAAAGTATTTAAAACTATTGACACGCTCCAGAGTCTTTCCATTTGAAGCAATTTGAATATCCTCAACGTGAGATAATCGATGGCAGGTGCCAAAAACCATGAACTTTGTTTTGCTAACATTCAGGGTGAGCTTGTGTTCGTGTAACCATTTACACACCTGCTCCATGCCTATAATCATTATATTATTCAGAAACTCTCTGGAATTCCTTTGAACATCAGCAGTGTATCATCTGCATACATATTTATTTTGCATTCAGAAACAGTAATGCTTGATGGGAGAGAGTAAATAAAAACAGTAAAAAGCAGAAGACCTAGTATCAAACCTTGTGAGACTCCGACTTGAACACTACCACAGTCTGATAAAGCATCGTCAATTTTGGTAGCCTGTACCCTTCCACTTAAATAAGACTCGAACCATTTCAACTCAAGGCCCCTGACCCCACAACCATGCAATTTTGATAGAAGAATGTTACGGACGACAGTGTCAAATGCTTTTTTCAGGTTGAGAAAAATGGCACCTGTAATGGTACCAGAATCCATGTTATGCAAAATGAAATCAGTAACATCAAGAACCGTGGTCTGAGTGGAATGATGCAGTATGAAACCAGACTGCTGCTCAATAAAAGCCCTTTCCAGAATCTAAGACACAAGTGGGAGAACTGAAATAGGTCTGTAATAACTGATCTCATCTCGATCACCACCTTTGAATATTGGGGTGACTCTTTCAGTTTTCCATTTCCAAGGAACAACATCTGGAGAAAATAGGCAAATTTTACAGGTAATGTTGACTGGGTATTAGATGAAATAAAAACTTGTGACGTGCACTCAATGTACAAGTGGGGGCTGGACATTGATGCTGGGCATGCATGGACTACTAGGAAACGGGCACACAAGCCACAGTGCCCGCCTGTGGCAGACATAGACCGTGTGAACTTAGGGGTTAATGGCAAATCATGCAATGAGATCAGAAGATGACTAAAAGGGACCAGTCTTCCCTACCAGCCAATAATGGGGAGTGAGGTTGGCGTAGTGGTTCTTTCCTCGCCTTCCACCTCTGCGGTGCGGGTTCTAATCCTGGCCCGGTGCACATGTGGATTGACTTTTTAGTCCCTACCTGATTCCGTGGGTTTTACCCAGAATATTCCTCCAGGGTTTTCCTCCCACCTCTAAAACTGTAACTGCCTCTCATTGTCTCTTCTCTATAGGTTTTTTCAGGCTTGCGAGCTACAGTGCCTCGGACACTTTTGAGGAATCCTTGGTGTCATTATCAGAAATTATAATCATTGCATGGTGGTCAGAGGAAGTACAGATTACCGTGGAGAAGGTGAGGAAGTAGTTGAGGAAGTTAGTGAATTGGAAAGTGCCGGGTGTGGGTCATGTTCGCGGGTACTGGTTGAAGTATTTCAGCAGTGTGCATGTCAGACTTAGTGGGCATTTAGAGGAGTGTGTCATGTGTGGGAATCTTTCAAGGTGGGTAAAGGTAGGACAGTTTTACTTATGAAGGATGTTAAGAAAGGAAAGGTTGTGAGTAATTATGGACCTATTACTTGTCTTCCCATTGTTTACGAGCGCTTGACAGGAATGATTACCAAGGATAACTACACCCATCTGGAGAATGGCTTGTTTCCAGACGAGCAGAAAGGGTGTAAGAAGAGGACAAGGGGAACAAAGGATCCACTGCTGATTGACAAGGCCCTGTTGAAAGACTGCATGAAAAGGAAAGCCAATTTGTCTATGGCTCGGATTGATTACAAGAAGGCATGCGATATGGTGGCGCACTTGTGGATAATGAGTGTTTGAATTTAGTGAGCACTGTTGGGGGTATGGTGATTAATTGCTGGGCAACAGTAGGAAGACCTGGAGGACGACACTGACTGCAAATAATGGCAGTATCAATGTCGTCAGTATCAGACAAGGGATTTTCAACGGGACTTCTTGTCACCACTTTTGTAATAGTACTGGTGCTGATGCTGTTGTTGCTGGTTTTGCAAAAGGTTAGAGCTTGTTGTGTTATGAAGGATGGCTGCCGAATTAATCATCCCCTTTTTATGGATGACTTAAAGTTGTTTGCCAAGAATGAGGAGGAGATTGATTCTCTGGTGCAGACAGTCCCGATGTTCAGCTGGGCTTATGCAGCACACCATGCATCATCAGCTTCCTGGTCTTCCCATTAAGAGACTCCAACTCAGCCTTGGTCCAGCACAGTACCTTATCAGCAACACAGCCCCAGGTATTGACCACCTTCACCATATTGCCACCATTCAGTTTTGACTGAAGACACTTCTTGACCCTCCTGATGTACTTTTTGCCTATCCTTTCCTTCACTTCCTTATACATCATGCTGTCCACCTTTAACACCCCAAGATGCCTTTAGGATAGATCCATTGGGTAGAAGAATGCCTTCGAAGTTCATCCTCTTCCCCCTTTTCAACATCAAGGTTACGCACTTCTTGACAGTGAACTGCACTCCCCAAAGTCAGCAGACTCTACTTGCTGAGGAATGATGGAGGATGGGGACTGATGAGTGTGAACACATTGTGTGAGCATCAAGAACAAAATTCTTGATGGGTATGTTTTTGGGCTCAGCGTGGACTGCTGAGGTTGGCCAAGAAATATGTTGTGGGAATGGAGCTGCATGCTGGACAATACAAGAGGAAGAGAAAGTAGAAGTTCCAGGACAGCAAGCCTCTTAAGACTAGGGAAGTTTCTGAGAGAAACAGAGGAGGCAGGGGACAAGACCTGGGGATGTTTGAAGGATGGTGACTTAAAGGAGATAGAATGTTTGATAATAGCGGCGCAGAACCAAGCACTGAAGATGAACATGATGCGGGCCGGGATAGAGGGAGCAAATGTGATGCTAATGTGTAGGAGGTGTGGGGAGGGGAGAGAGATTGTATTTCACTTGGTTTGTGAGTTTAGCAAGATGGCCTAGATGGTTTACAAGGGAAGGCACAACAAATTAGCCAAGGTACATGTAATACACTGGGATCTTTGTCGGAAAGGAGGAGTTGCAGTCAAGGGGAAGTGGTAGGAACATGTCCCAGAAAAGGTAATAGAGACAGAGGATGTCAAGGTTCTCTTGGATTTCAACATCCAGACTGACCATGTTGTAGAACACAGGAGGCCAGATGTTGGTTGTTTTAGATAAGGCTGTGGACAGGTGACACTACAGTTGCCAGCAGAGAGAAGAAAAAAGGTCCAGAAATACCTGTATTTGGCAAGGGAGCTATGAAAGGTATGAAATGTCAATGTTATGGCCATTCCAGTTGTAGAGGGGGCTCTAGGTACCATTCCTGGATCCCTTGAGAAACATCTTGGTGAAATTGACTTGGTGGTCAAGGTGGAACTGCTGCAGAAGGCGGCTCTCCTTGGCATTGCTTGAATTCTACAGAAGACACTTGAGGTCTGAGGCTGTGAGACACAGCTTGACCCAAGTTATTCCAACAGAGAGAATAAGATCTTTCATCTCGTTGTGTGTATTCAAATAAAAATAACCAGTCTTCCCCAACCACCAGCCTGGGACCATTCTCAAACTATTAGCCACAGGCCAAACCTACTCAACCAACAACCAGTGACCAATCTTCCCCAACCACCAGCCAGAAACCAGTCTCAACCAACAACCAACCAGGGACCAGTCTTACTTAACCACCAGCCAGGGACCAGTCTAAAACTACTAGCCACAGGAGAGTCCTACTCAACCAACAGCCAGGGACCAATCTTCCCCATCCACCAGCCAGTAACCAGTCTCAACCAACCAACAGCCAGGGACCAATCTTCCCCAACCACCAGCCAGTAAACAGTCTCAACCAACCAGCAGCCAGGGACCAATCTTCCCCATCCACCAGCCAGTAACCAGTCTCAACCAACCAACAGCCAGGGACCAATCTTCCCCATCCACCAGCCAGTAACCAGTCTCAACCAACCAACAGCCAGGGACCAATCTTCCCCAACCACCACCCAGTAAACAGTCTCAACCAACCAGCAGCCGGAGACCAATCTTCCCCATCCACCAGCCAGTAACCAGTCTCAACCAACCAGCAGCCAGGGACCAATCTTTCCCAACCACCAGCCAGTAAACAGTCTCAACCAACCACCAGCCGGAGACCAGTCTCACCAATCAACCTGCCAGTGACTAAGGTTGGGGTGATTACACATTTAAGTGAGCAAAGTTCTATATTCGTTTGCAGATTTTCCCCAAAAGTTTAAAAGAGGTTTTTAAGGTTTTGATAGACACAATCAGGAGTTCATTTTTATAGTAAACAATGCTTGTTAAATATGAATGGTATGGGAAAAGTATCTAAATGTTTTTCACTCCTACCCAACCACCAGCCAGGGACCAAACTCACCTAATCACTAGTCAGGGACCAGTCTTGTCAAACTAAAGGCCGCAGACCAGGCCTACCCACTTGTCAAGGTATGATCAGTTGCCACCTACCTGCTAGTTGGGCAGCTGCCCTTGTGTAGTTCCTTTGTAGTTCATCAAAATCTGCAGGCACAGATATGACTACCTTGTCCACTGTAACCCCTAGCTGGCGCTCTCCTTTTTCCTTCAGATGCAGAATGATGCGTGATCCTATATACTCCGGTGAAACAACCTGTGAGTTCACTTCAAATGTTGCCAAGTCATTATCTACTTGTAGTTTTACCTGTCAGAACAGATCAAACAATGTTTGACAACACTCAAGAGAGCAAAGCGTGCACAAAGAAGGCACAAAGCCAATTATATGGGAATACATGTACACAGGCTCTGATCCAAACACCTACACTATCATTTACATGTACTTGGCACTGAACTTTCAATAGATATTATCTCATTTTTCATGGAAGTGGCATTTAGTGGCTTTACGTCTTCATGCAATATATGTGTGTTGGTGTCTGCTCTAAATCAGATTGAACCTCAATAAATCACTTTACACGGCTTTTAATTCCTGGGATTTGAGTCTTTCAAATGAACACAATAAGAAAGGGGAATAAATTCTCCTTTTTTGATTTATTCTTATTATTACTAAGCACATAAATTACAACTAATTCACAAAGAAAGTCATACTGCACTTGATATCACTGCATGGGAATGTTTGAAATATTGTCTACAGTCTTCCACTTATATGTGCATGTACATGTACATGCATAATCATGTGATGTTTTAGTGGCATGTATCACATAGAATAAACTTTTTTATGCACAGAAAAATACAAGAAAGCTTTCAACATATGCATTACTGTATTTTGCTAGTGAGATGAAACTTTGTGATTTCACGTACAATTACATTGGACAAGAAATACGTTGCTCTCTTTGACAAGATTGCCAGTATATGAACATGTACTTTAGGAATGCTAACCATGCTACATGTAAATTTGATATTCATAAAAATTCCAAAGTAGTCAAGACTGGACTTTTAAGAAGCATGGGTTGAGTTATAAATTGAGTGAAAGGCTATAATTTCTAAGGAAAAAACCACACACTTAAGATCATCAAGTGACTGAGAGTGGCCCACCAGGACATGGCGATATACATGTACATGTACAGTGTACCTGCACATGTTGCTTGAACATACGGTACACTGTACAGGGAGACGACATTTAAAAGAACATACATGTACATGTAATTCTTTGTCAAGTGAAATTGCAACTTTCATGTAATATGTACACATGGACATGTGCATGTACATACACCGTAACCAAAACTATACCTTAAATGAGTATCTGGAAGCCTCTTCCTTCAATTTTTCTGGAGTGAATCGTTTACCAATGAACCGTTTTGCATCATATATAGTGTTGACGACATTTTGCTCAGCCTGACATAAAGCACTGTAGCCAACAAGTTCTGTCCCTTCTGGAGTGAAGGCCACCATGGATGGAATGGTGTCGTGGTTGTCTAACTCAATTACCTGCAGTCCATGAAAAAACATTTATACACATTATGCATTCAAAGAAAAACTAGCGTTATGCAAAGTGAGAGTAAACTGGATTTAGGTGGAAACTACACTGTACACAATAGTTTTAAAGACCGATTCCAACGATGCTAACTTTCTCTTATTGAATCTTATTCAGAAGAGCCAAGTCTAATAAAAGTGGCACATATTAATATCTCCCTTGCAATACACGTTTTTGTGTTGATAAAACAGTTTCTGTACCCATTTCACCTGCGAGTCCAGTCCAATATTTTTAAAATGAACTTGCCATCAGGACTCAATATCTAATGAATATTAATTTTTGTAATGTACATGTATTACTGTGGATAGAAAATACCACAGTGTGTGCCCTTTAGGCATGCACAGTATGTGCAGCTGCGGACGGGAAGAATTTCAATCTTAGTTCTTTCACCGAATTTCTAATACATTCACCAATGATACAGTTTTGACATTATCGTAAATCAACAAGAAGGAGATATGCGGCACAGTAGAACCAGTACACAGATCGATACCCAGTATGCGGCGCACGCACATGTACACGTAGCTCCATGTTCATGTACATGTACGTTTGTGCTGGAACCAGTTCTTCCACGCATACCAGTTTCAATGTTTTCTCCAGTATTTCATGTACCATACATCATACAAATTTCATTTCTAAACAGCACAGTCAGTGGTCAGATTGTGGAAAATTTTCATACAAGTCAAAGACACTGTTCAAAAGTTTCAGCAAAATTACAAAAAATATAGCCGCAATGGAGACATGATTTGGTAATGACTATATACATGTAACTTACCAGTATTAAACACTAAATACAATAATAGTTTATTTTCAAAACTTTTAAAACCATTGGAGTTGGTTCTCAAAATGTGTAAAATCTTGAAATGCTGACCAGCACAAAAGTTTGCCAAATATACAAAAACCTAAGTCTAAAAAAGGCTCCGGTTTCTGGTCACCACGCACGCTGCTACAGACCTGTGCGTCAGCAAAATAAAGAGTTTTTATTTTGCATAAAATGATTTCCAAAAGCCACCAAACTTACTTGATTGGCAGGAATTCTGCTACCGTGTAATGTGTTTTTGATGGGGGGGTTGAGTAATACGTATGGTGAAGGAATCCCCCTAGGCCTCCATACCTTTCAGTCGGACACTCTTATAAGATGCTGTCATTCGTGTCAAAATCAGTTGGCTGCGGCTTGATATCATGCATGATTCTACAAGAACTGGCCATAGATGCTGCCAAATACTTGGTGTAATTTCTGGCCGTAGCCAATTGATTCGGACCCAGGCCCATGTCTGTGAACCAGACAAACAAAGTGGTCTTACGTCCTGCTTAGGTATACAAATTAGAAACACTTTTAAGCAACAACCCATAAAAGGCCAGTCTAATTTCAGTGTCAGTGAGGTAGTGGTGGTACATACGCATGCAGTGCGTGTAGTGGCGATGGACATCACATTATGACAACCATACATGTACATGTACCGGTACATAATAACTCATGCATTGTCACTTGCTAAGAGCAGATTTGAGTGAGGAGATTTTATTTTCTGAGCCAAATTTCCCCCCAATATTTTATATGCAGCTTGTTTCTAAAACGGAAAACAATGTGCACAGTGTATCATTCACCTCATGAGAATTCTATTTTCATTTTCACTGAGGAGCTGAACTGTTTCCAATGATTTTTTTCATGGGCCATATTTGACCTGCAACTTGTTTCCTCTCAGCTAAAGCAGAAAATAATGTGCAAAGAAGGTCACATATGCAGCTTCTTCATAAGAATTTCATTGAAAACTGGAAACTGGAATTGAACATTTATTTTTAACATATGATTTTTCCGTGGTTGTGAGTGCTGCTGTATTTTAACAAGCTCAATCTTTCCAAGAATAGAAGCCTCTTTTTTGAGTGAGATGACTGAAACCATTGCCTCTCGTCATATTTTATGGTCTTTTTATTAATTCAAAGTTGTTAATTCACTCTTCTCGTAGTAACAAGGCCATGCGCTCTAAAGTATATGTGCATTCACATCACGTCTAAGAAAAAAAAAAGGAAAAAAACATGCATCACGGCACCACTTTTGGACCAAGCCCATGACCAGAAACAGAAGTCTTTTGGGGGGGGGGCCTAACAAAGTATTTTGTATCTAAAAGTTTGTTCAATTCCACAGTCAACATCTTGCATACACTGCACACATAGGTTTATAAATTATATATTATCCCCCAATGAATTGCTGTCCTTTGTTTACTTAACAACATAATCTTTCACAAATTCAATTTGGCTTTTAAAATGATCCTTCATTAGAACAGGTGAATCTGTCAAATTACTCCCTATTCCAAATGAAGCTCAGTAAATCTGACCTGGACTTCACCGGTGACAGCATGATACACTGCAATGCAAGAATAAGTTGTGCCAAGGTCTATCCCAACAATCCTTGGTTTCGGAGGAGGTAGATAATGCTGTCCAAGGTAGCCTGCTAGCAGTAGAGCCAGTATAGAAGCACCTATAAATACAAAAGTTACATGTAGCTATGGAACAAGTATCACAGCCTTATGACAAAGTTGAGATGTACACGTACAGCATATTGTACAGCTGTACTGTGTACATTAAAGTTTCACTCAAATAACATCCCTTCCAACAGATTGCTACACACATGTATCGGCAAACTGGACGTCAAACTTTCATGATGCATATTGACTGCACCATATTTTGCAGGTACATGTACATGTATATGTATCAACATGGGTGAGTGAACCGCTTCATTGAACATCTGCACTGTGCATAGCATGTATGCACACAGGCTGAAGAGGTGTTATTTGGCACAATCATCAGGAACATTACCATGTGCCACATCATAATCAGACACATCAATCTGTGCTGGAAATTAGGCATGGGGAAGGGTGGGGGGATGACTTGCCTGTCCATGAATACATGTATTTGAAAAGAAGAGTAGGGGGAGGCACCATATTGGGACAATGTTTGTGACAGAGAATCTTGTATACATGTATGCACATCTGTGAATGCGTATTAAATTGTGTATCAGATTGGCATATTTATAGCTTTTACAATTGTTATCCTTTTTAGTGATACTGCAACATTTTAGTTGTTGGAAAGTCCAAAAATATCTTCACAATCTGCAGATATAACCCCCCCATTCTACACATTTAGAATAATAGCACGTTCCACTACTGACCCAACATACATGTATCTGCTTTGTTAGATGCCCCAATCTTAATTGGACTTTAATAACTCAACATGATAGCAGCTTACACGTTGTGCAATCCAAGTCCAGGGGCAATGGTGTGCATGTGGTGTAGGGGTCCATGGTGTTTTGTACATGTACACCACACCACAGGGGAAAATTGGCAACCTCAGCTTTGCCTTGAATGTCATTTGCCCCTTAGGGTTTACAAAACCCATGGACCCTGTCACAGTAGGAAAAAATTGTTTTGTTATACCATGGCCATAGACTAAAGTGGAACTATCTTATATGCATGTAATACATGTACAGTACATGCATATTTAAGATAAGTAGCAAGCAAAATTAGCCAGATAAATTAAAACATTTTGACAAATTTAAACACTTGAACAGCAAATTACAAGGAAAGCTACTGATTGTTGTGTCCTTTGTTGAGCTGTAATTTTGATTTTGTTGTGTTGTTTGTTTTTTGGGGGAGGAGGGAGTTTACAAGAGAAACCTGGGAATCATAAAGCACTGGGTTTTGTTGACTGGTTGAATTTTAAGACATTATTTACACCAAATTCTGCCAAAAAAAATGACAAGATTGAAGAGCAGACAAGAAGAGACAACGGCATAAGCGTTTTACATTTATAAACAATGGCAATCGGAGCACAAACAGTGATGAGAGTATATTGGTGTTCCATGAGCATTATAGCTGGGTGCAAGAACAGAGGGTCTAACTCGCGGGTTTCAGTCATGGTTAGAGTGAAGAAAGTAGTACAGTGGAACACTGTTATGACAAAGTCCTTGGGACTTCACAAATAACCTTGTTACAATCGTTATGTTGTATTATCAGTAATGGAAAACAAAGAAAAACAAAGACTTGGGACCTAAAACTATCCTTGTTATGAACATGACCTTGTAAACAGTGCTCTTCTTATGTGCGTTTGACTGCATATGCGAGCGGACACAGTGCTCCAATGTCTCCCACAAAGTGCATATCTCCTACTATCGATGGTGCGTAGTACCATCGCAGCTATCCACCCAAGATAACACAACTACAATGCAGTAGACACAATAAATCAACTGTGAGAAAGATCACCATTATTCATCATTTTTTGTAACTTGCAACATTGTTAATGTACATGACGCGGAAGTGATACATGAGCTTGTAGCATATCACATGATCAATTCACAACAACCAATAAAACTTCACCATCTATAGCCGTGGTAACGTTATACATGTACAAGTGTAGATGTATCTCCCCATTTTTAGACTTGGGGGATGGGCCATGTTATGATCCCTCCCCTCCCCAAAACTTTTGGGTGATGAGAAAACTGGGACGTTGGGAGAATTTGGGCTTATCTCCTGATGTCAGGAGATCATTGTAAGCTATCAATAGCCAAAACACAAACGTCATTGTAGCTTACACAGCCAAGACACAAACGTCATGGTAGCTTACATAGCCAAGACTCAAACGTCATTGTAGCTCACATAGCC